CCCTATCCTCAGCTGCCCAACGAACTAACTGGTAACCTCAGCTTGGGCACCTGGGAGCCCCTCTAGGGTCAAGTCTCTTGCCCACCCTAAAGTGGTTCCCTTAACTAAGAATTGTGGTTCCGTGCTCCCCTATCCACCCTTCCTTTATCCCAATCCTCCTGTTTCCCCATACCCCCCCCTCCTTCCCTTCTACCTTTTCTCTCCCCATCTCCCCTTACCCCCATCCCACCCCACCCCCAAGATCCCAATTTTCTCCCCGGCAATTTTGTCTACTTCCCTTAGCCAAGAGGAAAACTATATGTTTTTCCTTGGGTTCACCTTCTTACTTAGCTTCTTTAGGTTCACCTATTGTAGACTCCGTGACCCTTGTTTATGGCTAGAAACCAATTATGAGTGAGTACATCCCATGTTCATCTTTTTGGTTCCGGGATACCTCACTCAGGATAGTGTTTTCTATTTCCATCCATTTGCATGCAAAATTCGAGAAGTCATTGTTTTTTTACCGCAGCGTAGTACTCTAGTGTGTATATATTCCATACTTTCTTCATCCATTCTTCCATTGAAGGGCATCTAGGTTGTTTCCAGGTTCTGGCTATTACAAATAATACTGCTATGAACATAGTTGAACAAATGCTTTTGTCATATGATAGAGCATCTCTTGGGTATATTCCCAGGAGTGGTATTGCTGGGTCCAGGGGTAGGTTGATCCCGAATTTCCTGAGAAACCGAAACACTGACTTCCACAGTGGTTGCACAAGATGGCATTCCCACCAGCAATGGATGAGGGTACCCGTTCCTCCACAGCCTCTCCAGCAAAGGCTATCCTTGGTGTTTTTGACTTTAGCCATTCTGACAGGTGTAAGATGATATCTCAAAGTTGTTTTTATTTGCATTTCCCTGATTGCTAAGGAAGTTGAGCATGACCTTAAGTGTCTTTTGGCCATTTGAACTTCTTCTGTTGAGAATTCTCTGTTCAGTTCAGTGCCCCATTTTTTAATTGGGTTAATTAGCATTTTAAAGTCTAGTTTCTTGAGTTCTCTATATATTTTGGAGATCAGACCTTTGTCTGTTGCGGGGTTGGTGAAGATCTTCTCCCAGTCAGTGGGTTGCCTTTTTGTCCTAGTGACAGTGTCCTTTGCTTTACCGGTAGAGTATTCATTCTAAAAAATTCTTCAATATGGAGTATTTGAGGTACAGAGTAGCCATGTGTCTGGACAGAGTTGAGAAAGATATACTTTTGGCATGCACAGTTGGCCTGGCCGTTTCCTGGGCTGTTTGAATCACTTTATGTCTCCTCCTTTGCTATTCGAAATAGTAGCAGTGCTTCCAGAGAGCGTCAGGTGTGAGTCTCGATGCCTTTATGATAAGCTGTTATTATGAATGCTTTGTCACACACAATTGCAAACAGAGAGACAACTGAAGAGCTTTAGTGGGCAGCATCCAGTTAGACTGTGACAGGGCAGCTAGTACAGTTTTGTTCTTTACTCTCTGACAGAATGAAGTACCAGTTATGATCTTGCCCATGCCTAGTTTGTGGTGGGAAAGATCATAGTTTTGGAGTAATATGGAGTATTCTTAATTTTCTGTTGTTACTAGAACAGTCTAACTCACTAAAATTCAAGCAAATGCATATTTAAGATTAGAAAACAGCCCCTGTTTCCATTATCTCTTGAGTAATTCAGCCTACTTTGATTTTACGAAGATGGCTAATAAATGTATAATACTAATTATCCATATAGGATAATCAACTTTGCCAACCATGTGTGCAGTCTCCTCCATGTTGTTTCAGCAACGGTAGCATAACCATCTCATGCTCATAATCCTGTTGTCACCCATACACAAGAGCAACTTGTCCACAGTCATATAGTGAACTCCTGTAGCCATTAGGTAGCAGAGCTATTCCCCAGAGGTTTTCACCCAAGAATCCTGCTTTCATATTGCAGCAATGCCTACAAGAACTTGTAGAGAGAAAAACCTAAATTTTGTATTTGTAATGACTGTTAAGGAAAATTACTGGTGTATTTCCTCCCTAAATTACTAGTGTTTTCAGGGTTAATTCATTCCATGAGAACAGAAGGAGTGCAGTAGGCAACTGTCTTAACTCCTTTTCAAATTCTCAGCCTTAAGATTGCAAGAGAGAGACTGGGGGAGAGAGAGAAGGCGCAAGAGTCAGCCAGATGACATCCACAGCATCGGTTCTCTTTCTGGTACAGCTAGAAGTGTCTGGTTCTACCGCAGTGAGCAGCCCTCGAATCAGCCGTAGCAGCATGAGCTTCATCCGTTTGAGCTCCAGCTTCAAGACACTCTAAGTTAGACCTGCTTTTTCCTGAGTACATGTCAGTCTTTTACTTTGAAATCCATTTTTAAATAATAAACATCTCTTTTAATAAAGTCAGCAGTTATTTATAAAAAATAAAGGTTCCTGAGGGAACAATGTTGAGTATTTATGGTAGTAATCAGAGGCTGAACAAAATGCCCCCATAGCAAACTACTATATAGTATAGCTAGAGGATTACTAACTCATAGTTTATATTAAAACTTAAAAGGATTAAAAGAATTCTTTGATGTAGAATTTGATGTGCAGTCAGTAGTAACACTGACACTTAATTCATTCACTGCTTTATGTGATTCCCTTATTTTTAGGGGGAAAAAGCTAATTAATACTAAAAGTGAAGAAAACATAGCGTTTGAAATGTAAGCTTCCCTAAAGCCTTGCTCTTGTTTAAATTTATAACAGTGCCGAATGCACTCTGGTATGAAGAGTTGAGGGGAAATCCATACCTGAAGTAAGCGCTCAAACAGTGCTTTGAATCACCTGGTCTGTTTAGGATTTCTTTCCATTGGAGCTAAGACAATAGAATATACTGTAAGCAACATAAAAAAGCCAAGAGAATCAAAACAGAAAAATGAAGGGATCTAGGACTATACCTCAGGGGTTTAATCTGGGTTTAACGTGCTCACGGCCTTAGCACCAGCAGATGAGAACAGAAATGTTCTGATATAATGTTTTTCCTGCGGAGAAAGATGAAGATCCATTTAAAACTTAAAAGCCAGACTGCAGTGGCAGCACGTAACTGCAATCCCACGTGCTGCAGAGGGCAAGGCAGGAAGACTGTTAACTTCAGCCCAGCCCAAACAGCATCTACACAGATGCATGCAGTCTGTGAAGGAGGCCTACAAGGAGTTCTGTGGACACAAAGGTGTGTCCTACAAATACACCAGGAAATGAGTATTATCCTTGAGAAGAGCTAAGGTGTCAAATTACATGGCCCCTTGAAATACTGTCCTGATGGAATTATTTCATGATAGGATATAAAGTTATATTAATATGCATAGTGGCACATACATGGAACTGTAGAATTTGGCCAACAGAAGCAGAAGGATTACATCCTGGGCTAAGTATTGGGGAGGTATTTTAACTACTGAAAGATATAAAGTAAAATTGAGATGTATTTCTTTGGATAAGCTAAAGTTTTCTCAGCCTAAATATATGTATGGCATTCTCAAGTATAAGTATATAATTAATTTATTCTGTTCATTTGTGTTGATTAGCAATCAATTGCAAGATGCCTACTTTATATCTTCTGGCTTATTATATATATATGTATATAATACGTATATATATTTATATATCCCAAATCTCAGTAAGTCGGAAGCTGCATGTGGGTGCAGATGCGGCCAGCCTCAGCACTGGTGGCAGTGGGAGGCACTGGGAGAGGTGCCTCAGCAGCACTGCTGCTGTCACTCAGTTCTGTAGCAAGTGGGATTTGTTTTGTTGTTTTTGTTGTTGTTATTAACCATTTTTGCCAGTTTTACCGGTTTGTAACTGATAACCATTTTCCTTAATTGCTGTAATATATGAACTATGTCCAAATAATAGGAACATATCCTTTGTTATTCTGAAAAGGTTGCACTAATAAGATTGACCAGATATGCAAATTTCCATTAATACGTTAAGCACTGCGTTTTCTTCAAAGCCTTCCCTCTAACACCTCGTTATTTTCAGGGCCTGGTACTCAAATTCCACTGTCAGATTCCTCTAGGAACTTGTGTTTACAGTCACTTGTCTCGTGTCCTGACTGTCACATTCTCATTGTTGAAAGGCTGGCTAGTAGAGACTCTTCCTGGTGTTCCTGCTCTTGTCCAACACTGATCGAAATGTCAACACCTACACTGTATGTGATTTTTCTTAGCACAGTTGGCTGAGTTCCTTCTCAGTGTTGTTATAAATGATCCAGAGCTTGTCCTTACAGCCATCTCTTTGACCCCACTCAGCCCCGTTCTGGGGGATGCAGTCAGGGTTGTCTTTACACTGATGGAAGGTCCCTGGTTTAACAAACCACATAGGTAGCAGCAGCTCCTAGGAGCAAGTGGTGCGCAGGTTTCTGATTGTACATGATAGTGGCTCAGCACAGTCCAGACAATTCTCTTCTGCACAGGGAGAGTTGACCCGGTAAGGTGGGCGAACTGCAGGATGGGTGAGAGAGAACAAGTGGGCACGTCTCACACTGCCTGATTCCCAGCAGACTTACTTTTCCAGGCCATGTGTGTCTCTGCAGAAACCACCCCCACTCTTTAAAAGGTGACCGGCACGATTTCTGTGCTAAAGCCCAGTCATTACTTACAAGTTTAGTTTTCTTTGTAAAAATAATCTAAAGCTGAATTTTTAATCTAAAATTTTTTGACAATTTCTTATGAATTTGCATCATTGCCATCCCTCCATCCCTCTCCAGCTCCTTCCGTGTACTCCCACATCCTCCCAAACTCATGATCTCTTTATTATTATTATTGGCACACACAGATACATATGTGTATTTGAGTTCATTTAGTGTTATTTATATGAGCCATATTTTAAGAAAACTAGTTTCTAACCTCAGGCAAGTCACCTTTGAATCCTTTAAATCTAAATACATAATTTAAATATTGTATTATCTCTGATTTTTGTTCTTCTGCTTTTAATTCTCTTCCTCCTAATAAGCAATCTGTCACCCTCTTTGTAGATGCTGAGGACGTGCTCACTCCCAGATCTTTCCAAGCTGTTCAGAACCCTGATGGACGTTCCCACTGTAGGAGATGTTCATCAGAACAATCTGGAGATAGAGGAGCTTGAAGATGAGCACAGTAAAGATTCCGAAGACACGTGAGTACAAAGCCATTAACAAATGCGATTGCCGCTGTGATGTCTGAGCCTTTGAAGAGTCCAGAGAGCATGGCCTACAGCTGGCTTCTCATCACCCTTCAAGTTCTTACAACTTGGTCAAATACAGTCGGCCTCTTGATTCTGGATATCTGCTTCTAAATGATTACTACCTCATCTGATGCATATGAAACATTTATATTTGTGTTCACTGTCTTTTTTCCCCATTGACGTCCATCTAGTACACTGATGCGACTATAGTAAGAGATTACTAAATAGTGATTAAATTAATTTTCACAGGGTAATGACTACAGTCTCCATTATACTAGGAATGAAGTGGGAAGTTGGGAAGTATTAAATGCTCCACATTTTCTCAGGAAAATGCCTGAAAGTTTCATATCTGCCTTGGACATGTTTCATTTTAGGCTGTGTCAGTGGTAAGGTAGAGTAGTTATTATATTTGTGTGATATATGTGGGAGTGGGGGGCAGGGTAACCATGAGAGAGAGTGTGTATGTTGTATGTAACTTCATTGTTTTCACAAAATTCCTATCTTGTGATTCATGCGAATTATAGAACTCAGGAAGGAAGTGTAACGATATTTCTGAAAGTTAAGGGAAATGTTGGCCAAGCCTCAGATAAAAATCATCCTTGACCTCTTCAGTTTTAGCCTTCCAAGCACGTCAGGCAAGTATCACTAATGTGGAGGAGCTAAAAGCTAAGTATCCTGTCATGAAGTGCTAGGAAAAGTGTCGTGTAGGGTCTAGTGCTGAGGATGCAGGGCTGTAGCTCTGGGGTAGAGGAGCTTAGCTTGGGCGAGGCCCAGTTTGAGGCAGGATCGCTGCACCTGGCATTGGTACTTTGCAAGTTCCTAACAAGCTGTCCGTTCTCATCAGTCCTCATAGAGACCTGTGAGTGGTTGGGAGGGACCCTTTCGTCATGCTTCATTGTGCTCACTAGCGGACACAATGTTTAGCACCTGGGTGGTTGCAAATTGCTAGGTAATGGATTTTGTGGAGGGTTTTTCCCAAATAGAACTAAAATGAACAGTTTTTAACTGAGCCAGTTGTAAATGAATTCTTCCTAAAGTACTATTCCAGATTTACTAGTTGTTTGTCATTGAAAACTGATTTTGGTTCATGTATTTATCAAGATTTTATAATGGGAAAGCAAACTAAAAACTAAATTTGGGACCAGATTTCAGATTATCTGACACAGGTTTTTGAATGCTGATTTTATAAAATATGAAATCTTCTCAGGTTTTCCTTAGGGTGGCAGTCAGGCCAATCTCACTCACTGACTCCAACATGCCTTGGCCAGTATTTACTCATGCTCACAGGTGGGGTCGATAGTCAGTAGTCAGGTCCACAAAGTCCAATGGCTAGCCAGTGTACTAAGTACCAAATAAAGGTACTTCTGTGAAAATGATTGTTTTCTCTTTCCAGTAATGTAAAATGTCTTCAAGTCCTTACCTAGTGTTTGTATTGGGAGTTGAGTGTAAACTTTTGGGGAGGTCATCATGAGCATCCCTAACTTAGATTGCATTTCTAGTAGATGAGACCTGTGTTTAGGATCCCTCAGCAGACACCTTCACACATCTAGACTCTCACAGAACTCTGTCCTCAGAGAGCAGCCTTGAGTATGCTTCTGAGTTACTGTACAAGAGCTCAAGGTTTGTCTGCTACGCATTGCTGAGGCTTTGAGCCATGTCATACTTTGATTTACACTTTTCATGTCTCTACCATGAGCTTCATTTGGATAAAATTTAAAAATTGGTTGAAACTGCTTAGTAAACTAATGTGCTATATAAATATAAGGTCTTACTATATGAATTTATTTTTTTCTACATTTTAAATCTCATAAAGATAGGAATTTTATGCTTTGAAGACAAAATTCTCCTGTTAGGATTATGGTAGTTGATTTATTCTTGGGAAAATCTACTTACATGTTTAGAAATGTTTTCAAGAATATGCACAGAAGTTTCTGTTGGCTCTTATATTCACTTTATACAGACACTATACAAGACCTTGACTCTTATTGCTACAAGTGCAAATGCATTCACATGGAAATCTTTGCATATAGTAAGTGCACAGCTAGTAGCCATATGAAGATTGCGATGAACTTTCAAAATTATCTGTTTTTTCAAAATTTCTTTTAAATATTTGAGTATTCCCTTTGAGAAAACAAATGATAAACATCTTTAATTTCTTAAATTGTCCAATTATAGCTGGGACACAGAGACACAGAACATCATTTCAAAGTTTAGGCAGTGATTAATGCTAATAGGTACATGATTCTCTTTAGCAAATCAGGACCAATTTAAGCAAATCGTCTTCTAGTTTATGAATTGTAGAAAACCCCTCATGTTCTCTATTTCTCAGTTGTATTCATCCTTATTTCCTTAGTTAACACCGTATAGGCTTATTCAGACTTCTTTTTCTCTATGGTTACTACCTTTAAGCGGGAGAGAAGGCACATGCATGTGTTGAGTTGAAGTACCATTCCAAAATACGTTCATGTTTAGGCAGCATTCTCTTTAATCCTTTATGCTCCAGTGTGTTTGCAGAAACTGACACAGATTTACAAGAGCTTCAGGCCTCAATGGAGCAGCTGCTCAGGGAGCAGCCCGGTGATGAGTACAGCGAGGAGGACGAGTCGGCCTTAAAGAGCAGCGAGCAGCGAAGTGGAGCCAACAGCAAGAGGGACAGACGCCGCCGACGAGGACGACAACACCAGCAGCGACAGTGCCCTGAATGAGGAGTGGCACTCAGGTGCATGGTCTTGGCTGTGGGCCTGCTTCTTTCTCTGTGCTCAGACATCTTAAGTAAGGGGTCTTTTTCTGATGTGCAGTGTGGCCATCGCCAGCTTAAGCTGGCGTGTGCTCCTGTCTTCTGTCGTGTGTTGACTGCCCGTGTTTCACACAGCGCACAGCAGTTCTTCATTTCTTACTGTTGTTGCACAGCGACTTGTGAAGCGTTTTTATTCTGCTTTTTGCTCTCCATTTCTTGACTTGTTTTTCTAGTAAGAAAGACAATAACTTAGTATCTGTGTTCTGCCTGTCTCTTCATGTTATAGTCCATGTTTATCCTTTATACATAGGTTTGGTTGTTTCAGTTCAGAACATAGAAATACGCTTTTTCCATTTGTTTCCAAACTAACATTTAAATAGTGGTGTTTCTGGGAATCTTTCTTTGTAATCTGATTTACTATCTATGTCTTTAAAAGAAACAATTCTCAAAGTAACATTCTTGGGTAAGACAGAATACGTCTTCTTGGGTAAGACGTAGAAGAATACAGGAAGCTATAATTCATTTGTCGTTGATGACAGTCTGGTAGTGTAAGAATGACTTTTAATCACAAAGTGTCTTTTTTAGATAACAGTGACGGTGAGACTGCTAGTGAATGTGAATATGACAGCGTCTTCAACCACTTAGAGGAGCTAAGACTTCACCTGGAGCAGAAATGGGCTTTGAGAAGTTATTTGAGGTGTATGAGAAAGTAAAGGTATGTCAATTTGGTTACATCATGTCTCCCTCTCTCCCTCCTACTTGTCCTGTATAAGCCCCTCCCAAATGCACGGCCTGTTCTTTAACCATTGCTATTATATATGCGTATACACAGATGTATCATGTAGAGCTAGGCTGCCCATGATAATTTGTTCACTGCATCTTAACCAGTTTTAACTTTCTGCGATGACCTCATGCTATTGTAAAGATAAGCTTCTTTGTTGAAGGGAGAGATCTACACCTAACGCTGGGTATAATGGTATGATGTAGTTAGGAATCACGCTGGTTTAGGAAAGTAGCAGTAGCGGGTTTTCTTCTAAAATCACTGACCTGACCAGCTGCATAGAGTGGCTAGGCTTATAGTACCAGGCATGATCCCCCTTCTGGTGAAGACGCCTTGAGTCTAATTACACGGCTCCTGTTTGCCACCGAGATGTAAGTGCCACTATTGTCCATTAGGGAGAGCTTGCTGTGCCTAGGCACCGTTATGGTTCACAGGCTATCGTTGATTGCTTCTCTTCTGTAGCAGCTTCCGTATTAACTTACATCTGGTAATTTGGCATAGGCTATTCATGAGGATGAAGATGAAAATATTGAAATTTGTTCAACAATAGTTGAGACTGTTTTGGGCAATGAGCATCAGCATCTCTACGCCAAGATTCTGCATTTAGTCATGGCAGATGGAGCCTATCATGAAGGTAAAGTTTTTCTCATGCCTTCATATTTTAAGCAAATGTGAGAAAAAAACAAGATGACAGATGTAAGATAAGGCACTCTCCTCAAATGGGCTTTGAGGCAGTCTGTACTGGACCCTGTCTGATACTGTGAAGTAGCTCTAAAATTTACTCTGTCCTGTCACGAGATTCTATTGCCTTAGAGTCTTTAAGTCACTGTCTTTTAGTTCATAAGTAACATTGGAATGAATTTTTAGTGCTTTATTTACTAATGTGTACCTTTTCCTGCATGTATATATATGCACCTTTTGTGTACATTGCCCACCAAAACCAGGTGAGGCTATCAGATCCCTAGAACTGGCATTACAGATGGTTGTGAGCCATCGTGTTAGTGCTGGAAACTGAACCTGGGCCTCTGCAGTAGCAACCAGTGTTCTTACCCACTGAACCATCTCTCCAACCCTTAAATAAAAAATTTTAAGTTTCCTAATTAAAAATTCAATAGCTGTAGAAATTAAAATAATTCTCATCAATCTATTGAATTTTTTTGCAGAGGAAGAAAATGTAAAATTCTGAACATGAATTTATTTCTAACATGGTTGTCAAAATATAATTACTTTAAAGATTTAATTCATAGACCAAAATTGAGGATTTTTAATTTTAATTGTTTAATTTTAGCAATATAATTTTTCTTAAAATACATTTATATTGCCTCTTGCTAAGAATAATTAAGTTAATTTTTAAAAATACATCCACTTTACAAAATAAAAATAAGTACTAAAAATATTTGAGAAAGCAGCATATTAGATAAACAAGCACAAAACAAGGGATGGGGTAAAAATAGGATAATGTTCAGAAGGTCTTTGTTCTGGAAACTTGGCAGGGAAGCAGGAATCCTGGTTAGTAGAATCAGAGCCCCTAGGGCACAACAGAACCCAGAGGTCTGTAGATCTCAGTACAGCTAAGTGTTAACATTAGTTAACTGAGTTATTAACTTGTTAAGACTTCGGAAATTTCCTTCCGGTGTATTACTATAAAATAGGTATTTTATTTTCTGAAATGATAACAGATGACTTCACCATTAAGATGAAGGTCTCTGCTTTAGCCAGCGCCTGGAATTTACAGATTCTTGATTTCACTGAGCTCCTGCACTTGAGCTATACTTCACTGAAGTGAGGAATAGCTTGTAATTTTGCAACATTTGGATTCCATAGATTATTTTTCATATGTGTAAGCTACAATGGCACAGGACTAGAGAATGATTCTATTTTAGTAAATCTGTGGCGAGATCTAGCCAGTTCTATTCTCGTTCAGACTGGTCCTTCAGGAAGCTCTCCACAAGTCTTGTTTCAATGGACTTTTCAGTGGATTCGGCAGCAGTATGCTCAGGCTGTAGTGTTCCTTGTCAAGTGTCTGAAGAGCTTTTCTTTTGCTTTGCCCTTTGAGTGGAGAGCTGTAACAATCAGCTGGGCCTCAAGGTAGGATTAGCACAGCTGAATGGTTGCTAAAGGATGCCTGTCTTATGGGCCTAGTCACCTACAAGGACCAAACACTAGGCTGAGCTGTGTAGCCCTCAGGAAACGTGGTCAGTTTTACTGTAGTGTGCAGTGGGGACGTTTGTGAGACCACGAAGTTCCCTGACCCAGAGCCAGCCTGGAGAGAAAAGGTAAAGCAGTTTCACAGTCAAGCGACTGCCTTTGCAAAGAGCAAAGGACAAGGTAGAATACCCCAGCAACCTTAGCAAACTTCTTATATATCCTATAGCACACTTTGGCTTACTAATGTAGCCACTGAATAAACACATGAAAAATACATTAAACAAAAGCTAAGATGCTGTGTTAAACATTAGACAATTAAGTGCTAGACGGTGACTGTGTTTAGAATAATGAGAGCAAATGGATCTCAAATCAAGCTGTCCTATATATAAATAGTTGGGTTTTAGATATTATCTAGGAGATAATAGAATCGTGTCATATACATGATGCCTGCACACTTTTATTCTCATTCTAAATGATGAGAAACCAGTAAGGGACATATTAAAAAGAAGAAAGTGAGGTGAAGAGATTGAGGGAAACACGCCACCATCAGCCGGTGGTCTGTGCTTATGTCCACATAGACAGAGCATCTGCACACATGTGTATACCCACACCACAAGCAAGACTTGAACTTTGTAAAATGATCTTCTAATCTCATTTCTGTTTAATTTCCCTGGAAATTGTCAACTTTCCCCAAACCGATCTCAACCAATAAGGTCTCCTGATACTGTTGCAGTGTAGGTTTTGTGAGCTTTAGTAACTGTCTCCGGTGGTAAAATTAACACTAACTAGTCCATATGAAGCTCTTTCAAAAGTCATAGGTCAAACAGAGGTAGTAATTTTGTAAGTTATTTAGAACTGGTTCTAAGAGTTCCTTCACAAGGAGAATTGATTGAATGTAGTGTGGCCAATGGTATGTTGGCAGAGACTACCACGTCCTCCCATTGATCATCAGCAACTAAGCACATAATTTCTTTCAATCTACCTTTCCTTCTCATCCATTTTAGATGGAATGTTATGTTGTATTTATGTAATGAAATTCTATACAGCTGTTCAAATGAATGAACCAAATCTTTAGCTATGAGTATGCATATGCCCACAAATCTAAGTTAAATAAGTCATGTGTGATTTATATAACATCTAAAACAAGCTTATATACTTCTGCATATGTTTAATAGCAGCGAAAAAGTTTAAACAACAAGAATATACATTAATTTGGGTGTGCTGAAAAATGTCCCTAGAAAAGAAGGCCACTGAAGTGGGAAAGTATACAGCCTGTAATACGCTCTTACTTAAATATCAAAACCAGTAGGACTAAAAGTTAACGTTGTTAATGCTAGGTAGGCATATGTGTGTTCATTGCTTTCCTGACTCTCTGAAGCACTTTATAGCTGTAAAAGCGAATAAATTATAATAGAGAGTGGTGTGTGACATTGGAAGCAATGAAGATATATTCAAGTTGCATGAAGTACTGGCGGGAGGCAGGGTGAGAGTGGTCCTTAAGGAGACGACATCGAAACTGGATTTTCAGAGATGAATGGCAGTTTGTCTTGGATCAGTATGCACATCCTGTATAAAGGGATGCAGAACATTGCAGCAGGGACAGTGAGTGACGGTCGGTAACTAACACGGGGAATCTTTAAAGCATTTCCGCGTTTGCTGATCGTGGAGAGCATTACAGACATTGTCAGCAGCAAGGGCGTGGCAGACAGTGGGGTCCACAGGGTGTAATGTTTGACATGATGCCTTGGATTTACCGGGGTCTAAAGAGGGCTGTTTGGCAGTGTTAGGCAAAATCAGTGTGCTTATTAACTCATTCAACAATGTTTTTTTTAAGAATAGACATTCTTGTGGTTTTACATAAGAATAGTTTACTTCATTGTGCCGCACTCATAAGATGGAATAGTGTGCAGACGTTGACTCTGACGTGGATATTACTGTGAGGTTTTCACCATGAGAAACAGTGAAAGCTTCGTAGTGGTGCGTGGCACCCCCACAGAGACTGCAGCGAGCATTTCCAGTCCTGCTGCTTCTTACCACGCGCCCTTCTCTATCCTCCTGTCTAGTCTGTGTCTTATGTGGGGCGCTCACGTCACAATTCTGCATCTTGGTCTGATTGTCTTAGAGATATTTGTGCTTCAGAAGGCAATCTGAGGATTTATGCTTACTTATTTGTAATACTGGTTGTCTTTGATAGTTTTTACTTACCTTTATTCTTTGTAATACTGCCTGGATGTCAGACAGTGCATATGCACTATTATAATAAAATTACATTTAAGACTGCATTAATAATCTTTAGAGAGGAAATGCTTTTTAAAAAGCAAGATACTGCTTGAATTATAATAAAGTGAATTAATTAATTAATTAATCTCCTGAGCTAGCCCAGTGGAAACAGACTGTGGAAATAATCCTAAAAATCATTGAATGATTTCATTATGAAGGAATAGCTAAGCTGTATTTCCTGACACTTTAAAAGTTCTTTAATTTCTTCTGTTTCTCTTTAAGGACCAGAAATAGTGTGTCTAAAAATCAGGCTATAAATTTAAACGTGGACCTAGAAAATAGCATAAAATCGCCCTTTTGGTTTTTAACCCCTCTCGTATATGTGCCTCAGTGTCACCTGCTAAAAAGTAGGGGAGCCTTTGTTTTCAGCACCCTGATAGTTTGGTAACTAGTATGGGGAAATGTTGGCCTATCCTGTTCAGTACGAGGATGGAACCAGGTCATTACAATGATGGTCACATGGTTTCAGTTATGTGAAACTACATATGGGAACAGTTATAGTTTCAAAATATGCCAAGTATACATGGCTTCATTGTCTACAGTCCGAATGTTCCTAATAAGACCAGAAATGTGTGCTTCTTAGGGTACCAGTCAACCTGATGGGCATAATCTGTCATCTGAAATGTGGATTCTTATTACTATTAGTACTGTATTGACTTTATTATGTATATTATTTCTAACATCCAGAACTAAATAGTTGATTTTTATATTTTATTTTGTACTAATAAATTTGTATTATGTACCTGAAGCGTACAATCAGTTGTCTTTATTAGCACTGTTCTCAGTATCTGCACCGTCTTCAGGTAGACAGACAATGACAGGAGCACGTGCAGAGGAAGACATTGCATCTGGAGACTGATGCCAGGCAGTCGGTGAGGCTGAGCTCAGACTTTCAAGCAACCCTCGTTTGAAAGTTACCGTAATCTGTAAGAGCCCTTGGCAACCTAAGGACCTCCTAAGGCCACAGTTTCTCCTCACTACCATCCTGGGAACCGAACTTTTATCAAAACATCTTCAACCCAGAGCATATACTTAGAAGACATGTGCCAGAAAGCAATGGTCTGACTCCTGTCTGGGATGAAAGGGAAGGAAGCAGGTCTACCTTTAACAGCACCACCAGGCAAAGTATTGAGCAGATGGTTTTCTAACAGTGAGGAACAGTCAGTGATACTAATGCTCTAGCCGAGATGGGCTGACCACAGTGGGTGTTGTGGCTCCTCAGCCTTACAGGAGCCAGCAGGGTGGGGATGGAGAGGTTGGAGCCAAGCAAAACCAGGGGTCGCCATCATTTGCTAAAATACAGTTTACTATGTTATAAACAAACAACTCAGTAACTTAAGCTCTGCCTTGATACAGAGGTGAATTCAAACTATCAGAAAGGAAATTATTTTTCTAAATAACAGAAATTACTTTATTGTAAACAAAATTGGAGAATACAAGGGTTGGTTATTTAATGATATCAGCAGTACTGACTGATAAATCTGTAGCTAGACTAACAGGTACTTAAGACATAATTAGAAATATCTGGAATGAGGATGATTCACTGTATCTTGACAGTCACCTAATGGATTATAAGGAAATATGAACAGTTCATGCCAAAATAATTAAAACTGCCTCTTTTTTGGAGCAAAACTTACCTGCACTAGGTTGCCATAAGAGACATAAGAGTGACTTCAACTACAGAATCCATTTTCTCAGTGTCATAGGTGCTACAGGTCCAAAGTCATGATTCCTAGTGTGGCTTCTCATTGGTTGCAGATAGGATTTACTCATGAGGCGACAGTGGAGGTGAGCTCTTTGTGTGACTAATCCTATAGCATCCAGGCCCATTCTTATGACCTCACTTAACCTTACCTGACAGTCCATGTCCACTCACATTTCTTGGTAATTAGGACTTCAACAAGAATTTATTTGGTTGCATCAGGAAGTGGGGGAATCTCAAATATTTAATCCACAGAGTTATCTAAGCTCACAGGAAGTCTCTATCTGATTACTCAGAGTCTAATATCTAATTGTGAAAGTGAAATTTAGTTTAAAGCCTACCACAAATGAGCCATTGGGTCCAGATGGATTCAGCGATAAGTTCTATCAAGCACTTCTGGAAGAAACAGTACCAGTTCTACACAAGCTGTTCTAAAATACTGGAATGCAGGGGAAATTTCCCTGTCCTGGTTCCGGCAGAGATAAGAGCTTGGGCATTCTCCTCACTTTGTCTAACTTGGGGTGCTTGTTTGCCTGTGACTCCACATCTCTAAGCTTGTTGCTCAGGGTAGAATGGCAGTGTCAACACTTCTATGCACTAGACTGTATCTTCGTTTTGTTTGGTTTGGTTTGCTTTAGATAAGATGAGTAAAGACAGGACAAATGGGAAATCTCAAGCTTTGAAGGAGTTCTTCTGAAACCCAAGATGTCTGGATTTGAGCAGAATTTATTGCATTGATTGGCCTATTACACAGGTCCTATCTCAATTTTCAGAGACTAGTTTGATTTCCACTTGACCCAGACACTTTGGATCTGAACATGGAGGGTACATTATGAATGAGCGAGCCTGATGTGAGCAGCCATGGACAATCTAATTACATCTTAAACGGAAGCTGGCCTAAAGGGCTCAGGTTGCCTGTCTTTTACCATATTCCCAAACCATCCGTTTTCCTGAACATGGCATTCAATCTCTGTAACACTTGCTCCTGCACCTCTACACGGGTACTCCAGCTTGGCCGGACTCCTCCCGGGGCCAGGTAAACAGCCAAGACTCAGGAACCACACACAATCATTCTTAGGCTCCAAAGTCTCTTTTGTTTTACTCCCTTCTCTAATCACATCACTGAGAAATGTACAGAGTTACTGTTGGCAATTACCAACTGTGAGGAGAGGCTCAGCCTATTTAGAAACAGAATTCGACTAACTAAAGGCCTCCAGGTAGATGTGGGCAGCCCTGTGAAAGTACAGCTGCGATCTGGGGAAGAGAAATTTCCAGGAGTTGTGCGCTTCAGAGGACCGTTATTAGCGGACAGGACAGTTTCGGGGATTTTCTTTGGAGTAGAATTGCTGGTAAGTTTGATAGGTCATTTGAGAGAGAAGGAGAAAGAGAGAGCATATGAGAAAGCGAGTGTGCACGTGAGCGAGAGACCATGAGCACATATTTTCCCCTTTATGAGATTTGTGTTTTCTCTTTGTTTTTAGTACAGTTCTCAGGGTGGACCTCAGGACCCTCTGCCTCTGAGCTGTAGTTCAGCCCCCAAATTTATTTAATGATAAATTGAGAGGATATAAAGACAATTCTTGAAAACTTTAAAAAATTATCTCTTACGGTAGAAACTTACAAGTCATTATTCTGGACTTCATATCTTAGAAGCTTTTAAGTTACCTATATTAAAAGTTAACACTGCCAATTGTAATTATAAACACTTAAAAAATTGTGAACTCTCTTGTGATAGTACCCACAGGATTCCCAGTTCTTAGTGTATGCTACTAAGCATAACAGTTTAGAGGTAAAATTTTTGAAGTGTGTTGCAGCAATTTCAGTTTGCTCATGCTTATCCCCGGAATGTATAAACTGCCTTGGAATTTATGTGCCTTGGCAACATATCTAAGAATTCTATATTCCAAACTGACTATTGGTTCACATTTGGACACTCTCAGGAGTAGAGAGAGGTCGTGCTTTACTTGCTTCTTGATTTGGCTTTTCAAGCAGTGAAATAATTAGGCTGTGACTGCCAGCTATGGTATGTACTAGCAGGGTTGCCAGCTACTTAACCTACATCAAGTTCTCCTGACCTGTTCCTCATCTGTAAAGTGCTTAGAGCACACATGACTTATAGTAGTTGTACGGTGGATGGCTGTAGATGGTTACAGTTTGTTCTCAGTAAATGGAGCTGATGCTGCTGTTTGGTTAAAGTTGAATGTCTGTTCATGACAAAAGTCGTGGTAGAACTATGTTGTAAATTTAATCCTCACTCTTTCTCAGAAGAATTATGATCTGAAATTATGAGTTAGTTTTGTCATCAGATACAGCTTCTTTATTCTTTAAACACCCTAAACCCAACAGCAGCTGCTAGTCATATTTCATATTATGGATATAATTTAGAGTTTTTCCAAAGTAATTTCCTGAAATCCCTTTAATGGATAATCTTTTCATATCTCTTTTTAAAAAAACTTTGAAAACTAGGAAGAACCTCGTGGCCAAGGTTTCACTGACGAGGTATGTCAAGGGAAACAGCTTTTTCAGTGTGATGAAGATTGTGGCGTGTTTGTGGCATTGGACAAGCTGGAGCCCATAGACGACGATGACAATGGATTGGAAAGTGATTTTGCAGCCTCGGGGGATACAATTCAGGCTGAACCTCCCCCTTTGGAAATAAACTCCAGAGTATCTATGAAGGTCGGAGAAAGTATAGAATCTGGAACAGTAATATTCTGTGATGTTTTGCCAGAAAAAGAGAGTCTAG